CCAGTTTTCGACGGATTTTTACGTTTTTGGGTCCCCTGAATCCGTTTTGACTATTTTCGGGATGATGTCTGTGTGTGTGTGTCTGTATCCACCATAACTCATGAACCGATAAAAAGAAAAACACCAAATTTTAAACTTAAGCTTTATTCTGGCGTCCAATGAAATGATTAGATTTTGGGCAGAGTCCGAACATCTGGGGAGTACTTTATAGGTGGTCATTTTTATATTTTATGGAACATATCTGTTATTTACGTTTGAAGAAAAAAATTCTTCAAATAAAAGTTACTTACAATATTATTATCAATATTTTTTGTTCTATACAAAATTTTCCTAAAATGGTCCGTATTCCAAAAAATTTGATAAAATGAAAAAAAAATGTTATAAAAATTGTTCAAATAAAAGTTGTTTGTAATATAATTTTCTACAATTTTTATCCTATACATAATTTCTCTAAAATGGACCGTATTCGAGATATTTGAGAAAATGTGTAAATTTCGAATTTTGAAGAAAACTCAAAAATGGATAAAGAAAAAACCTTAAATTTTAAACTTATGCTTTATTCCGACCTGAGGTGAACTGATTAGATTTTGGACAGAGTCGGAACATCTGGGGGTACTTTATAGGGGGTCATTTTTATATTTTATGAAATATATATGTTATTTACGTTTGGAGAAGAAAATTATTTAAATAAAAGTTACTTCTAATATTATTATCTATAAATTTTGCCTTATGTCAAATTTTCCTGAAATGCTCGGTATTCGAGAAATTTCACAAAATGTACAAAATTCTGATTTTTAAGAAAATTGTTGAACTAAAAGTTGTTTGCGATATCGCAATGGAAAAATTGTAGGAAAAGTAAATTTTTCAGTGTTTTCGTTTTCAATGAATATCTATAGAAAAATGTTTCGAGGTAGATGTATGTGGAAAATGTATATATTTAGTTTATCCTCTAAACATTTACAGAGGTGCTGCAATAGGTTGTACAAAATAACCGGAAAAAGCTCATAATAACTAGATAGGAAAGTCATGTGTTGGACACATCAGATTTTTAGTTTCCTGAATCAATATTTCTGGCCCAAGTTCTAATTCTATTTCCTCTTCAAAATCTTCGTCTTCGTCAAAGTCTTGCAAGAACATTTCTTCGTACATCCCCTCTTGCAACTGCATGTAAACTTTTTTAGAAAGTTATCTTTTTGTTCAAAAATTAAAATTAATTTGGAGTGTGCTGAACAGCGACCCAAAAGACATATAAGATGACTTAGTTCGCGAAACACTGTGACTGGTCATTCTTTCCGAAAATTCACCCCTCCGTTTCTGGCATATGGGGTCTCGACACCACGATTTTCAAAATCAGCGACCCAAAAAAACATATGAGATGAGTTAGTTTGCAAAACAACAAGTACAGTCGAAAAACACCCCTATTTAGGGATGTTTTTTGCAATTTTAGGGGTGGTTCAACCATTGCTGCTAGTTTTAACCCTCATTTTCGTAATCAGCGCCCCAAAAAACATATGAGATGAGTTAGTTTGCAAAACAACAAGTACAGTCGAAAAACACCCCTATTTAGGGATGTTTTTTGCAATTTTGGGGGTGTTCCAACCATTGCTGCTAGTTTTAACCCTCATTTTCGTAATCAGCGCCCCAAAATACGTATATATAGGTAAGTACGGTTTAATCGACCTATTTTTGACCCAAGAATATGTGGTATAATTTATGACCAATCATTTTGAAACACCCTGTATAATAAACTGCTTTATATCATCTACATTCATAATTTCGTTTTCAAGATCATTTATTTATTTACGGGAAAACCCAATTTTACAAGTAAAAAATATATGTTATATGCGTAAATACTAAGTAAAGCAACGGAAAAAAAATCATAACATATAAACCTTTAACAAGGCAGACAGTAATGAAGTGTCATTAAGAAAGTGGTCAATAATTTAAAATAGTTTCTTCTGCTGTATCCATGAATTTTTAAATATTGTGTAATTATGTACAAAGATTTAAGCAATAAATAATTAAATGATAATAGTTGAGAGAAGGATATTCTCGACTATCACATTTATGTTTACCTAGTGTCATATTTAGTTTTATACTAATTGTTAGAGATAATAGTTTTTACAAGATACTATGTTATTTGGACAGTCTTTTTTTTAATAATCTTTCGAACAATTTGGAAACACTGTTCTACAGTTGCAATTTTCTTTTTTAAGGAAAAACCCTTGGCAATTAAAACGTGTGCATATGCTCAGATCTTCATAAACCGAGTTTATTTCCAAACCAATATATAATTTTTGCTTGTTCATAATTTGGTGATACATTGAACATTCTTATTTAAAAAACGGCCAAGTGCGAGTCGGAGTCGCGTATGAAGGGTCCCGCACCATCGTAATAAAAGATTGAATACTATGTAGGTACTTTTTAAATACTTTAAGATCGAGCAAAAAAGGCAAAATAAACCGGCTTTCATTTATTTTTTAATTTTATTATTTGTTGTTATAGCGGCAGCAGAAATGCACATTCTGTGAAAATTTCAACTGTCTACCTATCACGGATCATGAGATACAGCCCGCTGACAGACAGACGGACGGACGGACAGCGGAGTCTTAGTAATAGAGCCCCGTTGGTTATCCTTTGGGTACGGAACCCTAAAAGTACTTACTTTTTTTAATATACACAAAAAAAATAAAGATAATTAGTAATTGAAAATTGAACAGAAACCAGGAAACATACAAGAAATATTAAGATACTGTGTTGAAAAGGAACCCCACCATCCAACACAAACGACATTAGATAGGATACGTAATACAATGAACATCTCTTAAAAAGCAATTTTTTTTCTCATTTAGATCATGTTTTTTTTTGTGATATAAAATATTTACAACCATAATTGTATACAGCACAATAGGCCGGACTTCAATCGATAACCTATTTCTCACTTTGATGAGTAATTCAGGTTTCATCCACATATACATGTCTTTCAATAGTGCTAATCTAAATTTTTATATGGGCTTGTTTATTATCCTTGCCTTATAATTGAAAACAAAACGGCGTTTGCAAATAATTCAGAATATAATATGTTGCTGCCTAATTCATAATTTGAGGAAATACAGGGTGTTTCCGAACTTGGCGTCCAAATTTGTAGGGGTGGTAGTTCGCATAATTTGAGAGCGATTGGCGATTTCATTTTTCTAAAAAAATTATAATAAACAAAATAGAGCCATTATAAAAAAAAAATCAAAGAGCGGGTCCTACCCTGAGCGCGTAGCGCAATAGTCGCCTGATCGGTTACTCATCGGGATTTACAACTCAAAAACAGATGCGATTTGCAATTTTGTCGATTCTAAGCAAACTTACGGAGAACTCGATCGTAGCGCGCGCGAGTCGAGGCGATCTCTTCGCTGTGCAGGACCGTACCTGTTTTAAAATTTTTAATTATTTTTATTTTAAATATTTTGGAAAAATGAAATCTGCGAATCGGTCTCAAATTATGCGAATTACCACCCCTACAAATTTGGACGCCAAGTTCGGAAACACCCTTTATAATTTTAAATACTTATTTGACTACAGTATTTTAACATTTGCGCAGAAAATGATTATATCCTCAAAACCAGTATAGTTCATAGATAAACTAATACCTAGAGCAACTATGCATGAGTGTGCTATTAGGGATCAATCACTACTTAATATGCCACAATTTCGTTTGACTACATACACCAGCACAAGGATTATTATGTGTGAATTCGACACGAAACGTAACGAATAGAGACATTACTTACAAATCGCAATCTGTTGAACAAAGATAGGCGCCTCAATACGTTAGGTATCGAACGATGATAAACCCACTTCTGATCTTTTTCATATAACGCAATTCAGCTATGCAACAGCCTAGATTTTAACATAAAAAATACAACTATTAAAAAAATATCAAAGGTTTGATCTTATCTCAACAGAAAAATAAAAATGCCTTATTCGCTCAATGGGAAGTCATGGTAGGGGAAGCCAAAGCGATACCAGCGCTAGCTGCGGATAACTCGTGCATTTTAGGGCGATATTTTGTAATTTTGAAATATCAAATACATTTTACTTTTTTTTCAAAAAATTAGGTAAAAACAATACAATAAGCAACCGGAGTTGCTGTGTTGAAAATTGTAAAAGTACTAGCAAAAAAAAAACAGTAAAATTATAAAAATGTTCAGTAGCAAAGTAGAAATTAAATCAAAGAAAATATTTTTGTAATAATAGTAATACTGGAAATAGTAGATATCAGAAACTTGAAAGGTTTTAAATAAACAATAAATTATCATTTTACGATGTTCTTTAACATCCCTTTATTCTTAAATGGTCATTCAGCAAGGACTAGATTTCAAGATTTCTACCTTTGATTATTGTATGTGGCTGGAATGCAATTTTGTGACTTACTAATAGAAAACCAGTTTTAATCATTCATTCTATGTTTTCTTTCAAACAAAAAATGAAAATATAAATAACAATCTTTTTGTTTATACATTTTAACTTCACACTATTATTTAATGGTATTTTTTTATTTTGACATTCTTCAAAGACAACTTATTAGACTTAGGCAACTTCTTATACATTTTCCCGTAAATACTGTTGCCTGCCTATATTTTATTATTTATTTACCCTAAAGAAGACGATGAGCAGGCAGCCGACCACGCAGTGAAGTGCACACACTATTTACTATTTAATAATTAAAATTATTGAGATTATCCAAAAAATTTATTTTATGTATATTTCAGAATGTCTAAAATAATTGCTGGGAAATGTAGAGGAGATACTTGCAATTTTTTTGGCAATTCTGCAGCTCTACAGCACTTATGCATCATCCGCCACTATCTGTGGTTTTGTAAAAAACAAACTTCAAAATAGAGATGGGGCTCAAACTAGATATTTAACCAAACATTTATTTTGTCTAGATATGAAGTATCCTCATTAAAATAACCACATATAGTGCTTATCGCAAGTTGAAAACTCACTTATCCTTGTGTTTTTTGTGTAGCTGAGCCATTTTTAAATGTCTTCTTTCAGCATCTCCCTGTTTTGTCTTGGCTAAAGCTCTTTTGAATGAAAGAGTACATAACCAACACAAAAGTTTTCCATCAACCTAGAAGTAAACTCTCATTAAGGGTGGGTGTATTTTAATTTTTTGTAATATTTACCTTTTTGTCATCGTCGTGCCTATCAAAAGCACACTTTTGCTTGCACTGTTCACAGTTGACTGGAGGACCATATTTAATTTCAGAATTCGTGCACCGTTGGCATTTATTCCCAATAAAAGCTGCTATGATGTTACAATATTCACAGGCGGTTGGTTTCCCATAAGCCTTCACGTTCTGTTCGCATTTTTTACAAATTGTGCTAGTACTACCCTTGGAGATTTGTTGAAATTCAGAACGACAATAGGTGCACTTAACTACTGGGAAAGCTCCGCGACACTCCTAATTGAACAAAAGAATCATTTTTCGAACGCTATACGACTCGCCTTTAGAAATTCAGTTATGTATTTGAAAAATCGTTAATACGTCTTTAAAAGGTTATGTTAAAACTTACTTTGCAAAGCTGTTGTCCTGGAGATAAATCTTCGAATGGATGCCTAGCAAAACAACGAGAACACGCAAAGAGTACTGTAGCACTCATTTTTTCGATAAATTCGAACAAAGCCGTTTATATTTTATAGAAATGCCAACGCCAAACCGCAGCAAATGACAATGACCGATGACATAAACGACCTCTAGAAATGACGTGTGACGCGTAGAATAGTTGCATATGTTCGAGAGTCCTTGGCTGGAACTCTGTGTCATGTAGAATTCTACTTATCGCTTTCTACAATGGAATCGATTACTTTCTTTTGTGATAAATACGTTTTCAACCGCACGGGAAATATCGCAATGTGGTTTCTTATGAAACTAGTTATCCTGTAGTAAGTATATACTCGTTGGTTTTCCGCTATGTTACAAATGCCGCGTTTGAGAATCCACATCGGATGCATTTTTTACATCTCGAGCGTTTTTTTATCCACATCGGACACATCTGTCCCATTACATTTACGTGTACTGAATCACGTGATCAAAGATTTTTTACATCTGAGATGCATCCGATGTGGATTCTCAAACGCAGCAACAGAAGGCGAGTTCGGTCAGTCAGGGGCTGGAGCGGGACAAATTTTAGGGTGCTTTTAAATGACATTTAAGCGTGTTAAACTGTCACTAATCGGACTAAACCGAACGCTAAAAGAGTCGTTTGGAGTTAAAAGTGTTAAAGGAGTTAAAGGAACGTGGCAAACCGAACGCAATGATTGTGACACAAAAGAATCTATTGTAGAAAGCGATAAATAGAATTCTACATGACACAGAGTTCCAGCCACAGACCTTTTATATATTGTTTAGTTCCAGCCCTTGTTTGTCCATTATAATCATGGCGATTTTTCGTCACGAGCTTAGGACCGATTCCACCGTCGTGTTAAACGGAGATTAAAATGACATTGTTAATGTAAAAATGTCATTTTAAACTTCGTTTAACTCTTTGGTTAAGGGTCGATTCCACCGTTGTGCTAAACAGAGATATGACGTTGTTAGGACCAATTCCACCGTTGTGTTAAACGGAGATTAAAATGACGTTGTTAATGTAAAAATGTCATAAACTTCGTTTAACACAACGGTGGAATCGGTCCTTAACACAACGGTGGAATCGATCCTTAGGTCACGATCACTGAACTGTTACGATACAGTCGTTCAGTCACATAATATAATAGGTTTGTTCGGGTTTCTTTAAAACTCGATGCAAACCGTCCGAGAACTAGTGGAACAGTTCAATTCTAAAGTATACGTCGCACACAACTATTAAACTGTCCACTGGTCAACTAGTCCTCTGATAGTTTTCAATAGGCTTGTTCGGGTTTCCTTAAAACTCGATGCAAACCGTCCGAGAACTAGTGGAACAGTTCATTTCTAAAGTATACGTCGCACACAACTATTAAACTGTCCACTGGTCAACTAGTCCTCTGATAGTTTTCAATGTATTTTAAAGAACCCGAACAGACCTTATGTATTTTAAAGAACCCGAACAGACCTAATAATATACTGTGGTTCAGTGGTCCCGACAATACCACAAATCTTGAACTATAACCGGGTCTTCCTATTGTTATAGTTTATACATTGCAAAAATGGTGAAGATAAATAATATAAGCTTGATTGCGAAATCATACTCATTCACGGTGCCCACTGGAAATACCTACCCAAGAAGCGAAACTAAGGCATTCTGCTCAACAAACTTGTAACTTTTGGATTATCTAATAATCTTTCCTCCATGCTTTTAGCGGTCGGTTTATTCCGATTAGTGACATGAACGTTTATGATAGATTGTTATTTGGACGTCTATAGCCGTTTATGAGGTATTTTTCACGGCATAAACCAACATAAATATTTATGATAGATTATGACGATTATTTAGACGTCTATAGACGTTCATGTTGGTTTATGCCGCGAAAAATACCTTCTTAACCAATCATCCTATCCTGTCAAAAATACGTATTTGATTGGTTAAGGAAAATGTAGCCAATGACAGACATCGTTCTTGTATGCCCTAGGATATATTTACGGAAGCAGCAATTCAAACGCGCTAAATTCAAATTAACATGACATTGCTGTCTGGCCAAAATATAAATATCGCATATCCTAATCAAAATGGGAATTGATTATTATGGAATATTGCAGATTCCAAGAAATAGTACAGATCTAGAAATAAAAAAGGCGTAACAAATTCGCATTTAAGTTGTTTGCATATCATTGTACACAATTAATTTTTAGGTACCGAAATTTGGCATTGGAATTTAAAAAAGATCTATTAGATAATCCACAAGCAACCCAAGTATTTTCTTTAATAGGGGAAGCATATGATGTCCTTAGTAATCCTGCTCGTAGGGCTATTTTTGATCAATATGGAGAAGAAGGCCTTAAAATGGGAGTACCCATGGTTGATGGGTGTTTCCCAGCCTATCATTATCATGGCGATCCTGTAGCAACATATAAGTAATAATTTGGTAAATATCTAGTGTGATTCCTTTTCGATTTTTATATATTTTTTTTTTTTTGGACAACGCTCTAAAGACTAATTTATTATTGAATGTTTTTGTGAATATAAAAAAATAAAATATTTATTTTAGGTAGTTATAAAAAAATTTTAGGACAAGGAAAATATTTAATAATTAATTATATTTTATAAATTTTAACGTTTTGTGAAAAAATTTTATTTACACAATATATAAGTTTTTGTTTACAATATAGTGATACCTATTATGCTTAGTTCTTCATGATCGAAAATGATTCAAACTAGATAATGACCAATAATAATTTTTCATAAAGGCCAGAACATAATTTTAAAACGCAATTTACAAAAATTTTAGGGATTTTTTTGGAACCACTTCTCCTTTCGCCGATCTTTTAGACGTTCTTAGAAATCCCCCATTGCTTCACCAACTTGCTGACGGCACAAAATGTCTTAGAAAAAAACAAGACCCTATAAAACATCCCCTTCACTTAACCCTACATGAAGTGTATTTTGGGGGCGTTAAAAAAATGAAGATTCATAGATTGGTGTTTACAAATGCTGAAAGAACTACTACTGAGGTCAAAGAAAAAATTTTGAATGTTCCGATTAAACCAGGAATCAAAGCAAAAACAGAAATTATTTTTCCAGATGAGGGTGACCAAAATCCTGCTACAATTCCAGGTTAAATATGGCTTCTTTGCTAAATTTATCAATTCTTTCAATTCAAAAATATTGATCTTATTCCTTTTACAGCTGATGTTGTATTTATAATCGAGGATAGACCACATGACAATTTTGTTAGAGATGGTAATAATCTGATAATGACTGTTACAGTGTCTTTAGAAGAAGCCCTTTTAGGTACCACAGTGACAGTTAAAACTGTAGACCACAGAACCATCAGGATACCTATAACCGATGTTATCAGGTAAGATAAATTTCATAGAAAGGTATGGTAATTTTTACAATTATTTATCTTATGAAATGGCCACCAATGTAGTTTTTTTTTTTTAATAAAACCGATAAGCTTTACTTTAAGATATGGTTCCCATATGGCAGAATTAAATAAACATATCGCAGTGTTTTGCTATTGCCAATTGAAGTTTAGCGACTTTATTTTAAAACAAACATGAATAAAGATCGAAAATTTTGAATAACTTTTAGTCCTGGTTATGAAAAGATTGTTGATAATGAAGGAATGCCCATTTTGGAACAATACCCCGATAAAGGAAACTTAATAATAAAGTTTAATGTGACTTTTCCAACTTATTTGCCCAAAAATTGTAAAGAAATATTCAGAAAAGGCTTCCATTTGTGTAAACTTGAAGGTGGTGGAATCCAGCATGAAGTTATCAACAAAATGGTACTGGCAGATAAAATTCTTCGCATTGACCCTGACGAACAAATGCCACCAATGATAAGAAATTATTAAGAATTTTATTTCCAAAAATTATAAAATGAAATATATTTGACACATTATTTATTCTAGTTATAAAGTAAATAAATGATTTTTTTTCTTCAGAATATCTATTTTTTTTTTGTTTTTATAAACAAATAAAGTATCTTAACATTTAATTTTATCTCAAAAGTAAGACAATGTTCACTTTTTCTACAAATATTCCAATTTTTTTTTAAATAGAATAACTAAAGAAGATCACGATCACTAAAATAAAATAAAACAAACAACAATTGGTAAGGGGAACTATTTTCTTCACAATAATACATGCAGCAAGTGGTGATTTATTGAATAATCTGCTACCTTCTCCTTTCTCCTTTAACAGTCTTGCGTTTTTCCTTTTTATCTTCTTTCATTTGCTTCTGTTTTTCTCTAGAAATAAAAACCAGGAAAATATTACAACACTAACAGGAAAAGTAACAAATTCTAAAAAAATATCCATAGATAGGAATTAATTTTATATAAGCTAACCTCAATCAAAAATTAGTATTCTGAGATGGCCATGCCAGAACTTTGATTCACCACACAAAGCAATGTGTTTGAAGGTACAGAGATCCTCAACAGATCTTAGAAATCTAAATATATAATAAACCTTTGGTCAATTAAAATGAAGAGCTAAATACCTGTCTTCTTTGTCCTTTTCCTTCTTTTTCTGGCTATCCATTCTAGCCTGATCTCTTTTATTTTTTTCAGCCTGTGCTACTGTGTGGGCATTTAGATTTTTCTCTAAACCTGAATCTTCTCCAGAACAACTGACTTCCTCAGCTTCGCCCTCTTCATCAGTCATTTCACTGTACTGAGAAAGAATAGCTTCCCTGATTTTTTTCTCCTCCTCAGTATACTGTTTTTGCTTGGTAGTGGCTAGTTGTTGAGATTCTAGTAATTTGGCAAGTTTGGTATCAACCTCTTCACTGGACATTTGTTTGGCACCTTGTTCCTCTTTTGGCTTTAAAATTAGCCATTGTTCGAGGATTTCGTTACATATTGTCATAATTTCTGACTCCTGAAATTACAAAAGGTTAACTAAAAACTGATATTCTACAGGTAAATGAGGCTTACATTTTCAACAATATCTGTTAGTAAACCTTGTATAGCTTCGCTTTTTTCTTCTGGCGTTTCATCGCTGTCTAATATTCCTTGGATATATGATCCAAAAACTGTCTCGTCTGTGTTTAATTCTTTTAATTTTTCTCCTAACCAATTTGAAAAATCCCCCATGGCTCCTGCCATTTTTGGAATTTTTGGATTTGATATTTTTTAAACTAATTATCGGATCATTCGAATGAAATAGTTCTCATTCTCGTGTTCTCGAATCGATTTAAATGTTTAGACCACATAACACAAGGACCGATTCCACCGTTGTGTTAAACGAAGTTTAAAATGACATTTTTACATTAAGGCCCGTATTTATCTCAGATAAATAAATAAATAAATAAATAAATAAATAATTATTTATGAGGTATTTATAAACAGAACTTACGTGAGTCGGACTTGGGTAAGTCGTCCTTGAACTAAAATCGAAGTTCGGTTACGTCTTTAAAGTTCCAGGTGTTCTGGTGTTACACTGGAATTTAGAGATGGATATTAGCAAATCTGTACCTGTTATGTACATTTACGGATTTGTTACTTCCCATCTCTAAATTCAAGCGATATAATCGAACTTCGATTTTAGTTCAAGGACGACTTACCCAAGTCCGACTCAGCTGAGTTTTGTTTATAAATACGGGCCTTTTATTACTCGAAATTGTTATTGGGGTCTATTCTGTAATAATTCCTTTATATTTAACGGCCTTTAAAAATATTGGCGGCCTTTAAAATATTTTCGTATTCGTTAATTTACTTCTGTCATTACTTAAACAGATTTCTTTAAGATAGTTCTTTAATGTATTTTAAAGATCCGTTTAAATAGTGACAGAAGTAAAGAAGAAAATATTTTTAAAGGCCGTTAAATATAAAGGAATTGTTACAGAATAGACCCCATTATTAACATCTATAAAATAATTTTGTACGCCTATGTATCGCATCCACTTCGGTTAAATCCGCCGTAAACCTGTCAATTAATGTGTATAAAGTGGGAGAACTGGCAAAAGCCTTTGTGCTATAATACGTTCTGGTTCTTCAGAAATAAGTTGAAAACTGTCCGAGTACTAGATGACCAGTGGAAAGTTAAAAAGTTTTACGCAACGCACAATTGAATATTCAACTGTTTTAGTGGATCTTGGACGGTTTGCAGTCTGAGGGCTAGTTTGCAGTACATTTTGAAGAAACTAGAACAAGCCTTGTAAGCGCGTCTCGTACATACTTCTAATAAAGTATGTGGCGATTGGCCGGATTGGCGATTCGGTAATTTTTGAAGATGAGATATGAGAGACATTCCTAATTCCAAACGGCATGAACGACACATGGGTCATATGATTGAACGTTTACGTTATACGTAACGTACATGTTAGGCCGATTTTTAAAAGTAACGAGGCAAGTTCGTATGATGGAAAACTGTTAAATTAGAACATAACAGGCGAAAAATAACAGTAATGTGATAAGGTATTTTTTAGCGAGTGTTTGGTTTAAAATATTTTCGACTTTTTTAAACCGTTTAAAATTTAGCGATGCAACTATGACGTCACGTACGAAATATTTTAAACCAAAGCTCGAATTTTTGAACCAGTCGGAGGCATATGGTTCAATAACGGTTGACACATAAGAGATTCTGATTTTGGCTGTTGTATGTTGTTTTACTCTGTTCCATTCTTTGAAAATTTTGATATATTTGACGTTTTGTTAATTTTTATTATCATACATATATTATGTGATTCATATTCATACATTATGTTATAATATTAATATTTATCGTTATATGTTGTAAACATTATAAACAAGATGTGATCTACCTATAGGTTACTCTGGATTATGAAACAATGATGCAATTGAAATGTGGTAAAAGGATGAATTATCAGTTACCTATACGTTTTTTGCAAAAATAATTACGTAAATTTCTCTTCAGATTCTGAATTTTCCAGTAAATATTTAAAAGCAATTAAACATTCTTTGGCACAAGACGTTCTAATTGATGAACTTTGGAAAAGCCCAAAAAAAAATTACAGCAGAGGATCGTCAGACAATTGCGTATTTGTTGGAGCTACGGAATAAATATATGCCATGTTTATGGGCAAGAAATATATCAAAAATAAAACTATGAACAACGTTTCAGATTGCAATTTATTAATAACACTCCAATTTTTAATTAAAATCGCTATCAAACAAACTCATCTTCCTTCATCTGATTTAACAATTATAAAAAAAATTCAATTCATTTTTTTAATCAACTTCGCTTCTCTTTTCTACAACTTATTTCAACCGGTAATCCATCAAAAAATATTACGATCGAAATCAATATTTCAAATTTTGTCATCATATGTATGAAGACTAGTCTTCATAGTCATATGACAGTTAGCAGGTTATATTTTTAAACCACCCTATTTTTGCCATCTATTAATTCATGACGTCACTTTAAATATGGTTTAAAAAATATTTTAAACCAATGTGGTGGCTAAAAAACAGCTTTGGAAAAAGTTTTCCATTATACGAACTTGCCTTGTTACTGTTAAAACTCGGCCTAACATGTACATTACGGATAAAGTAAACGTTCAAAATATATTGGTGTTACCGTTGTATGAAGATAATATAGTAGGATAATGCAACAGTAAAAAGTGTTGGATGCAATCTCGAGCGACATCTAGTGACGATTTAATGAAGTAGTCAATTTTTAATGCTATGCAAGATACGCCATCTACGTCTTCTTTTCGTTTAGGCACATGGCCTCTATCACCTACCTATTATAGTTAAAAACATCTTTATTTATTTAAAAATAACAATTCATGATAAAAGACATGAAAAATTAAACATAATAATGAAAATTTATTCCAGTTGACAAAACCGTACGAATAAAATTTTTGGATTAAGGTGATAAAAAGTGGTTAAGGACTTTGGTCAATATTTTGGTTATGTGCGGTTATGTCAAAATATATAAACAATAACAAAGAATACCTAATAACAACTTATAACAATGTCCAATGTTTTAAATAAATTGAAAAGTTCCAAGTAGAAAACAAAAAAGGAATATGTTTCTGAAAATGTTGCATGTAATCTAAGTACCTCTAATTGGACTAAGTGTTGGAAAAGTTTATAACCATAAAAATAGCTGAATATTTTTATAGTTTTCAAAATTTGAACAAGCTTTGCTACAAAATTTCATCAAAGCTATCAACAGTTTGCAAGATATTGAGTTAAGGAACAAGAAAATCACACTAATCAGGGAAAAATCAATCAACACTGGAAAACAAATTAAAAAATAATAGTCACAGGGATATATTAGCGACTTTCAAATGTATCTTGGCTGTTGATCATGAATATAAGAAAAAAATGTTCTCTCGGCTGGCTCTGAGTGTTGAAATAAATCACCTTGAAAGGAAGTTTTCAATAGCTCCACTCTTTAGGAATAGCTCAAGACGAAATCAATAGACCTACAAGTGGTCTATCTGTGGCAGACATATTCAGTTAGTCTTTATATTTCATTATGCAATGTTACAAGGTTCAGCAACTTGTCAAAATGGTTAAAATTTATTTCCAAAATCAGTGCTCTTATTTAGTACAGAATTCTATGAACGACACAATAATTATAAAGTCCTAACTTTGAACATAAAAGAAAATCTTATAAAAAAACATTTTTTTTTATATAATTTATCACTGTTTGGAAAAGTATATTTGTTTGTAAAATATTTGTATTTACAGTTATATTTAATCCAGGTTGTGTCAGTGCGCGAGTATAATGTTAAGTATGAACAAAATCCGCCCATTCTGTTTATATGTTTGGTTACCGACCCTAGTAGATAGGCTATTTGTTATTACTTTTAATTTAGATTTTGGATTAACGGTTTTGTATATGACTTGGCTGATTAGTAATAAATGAAGTCAAAACTGTAACACTTGGTTTTATTCTGGAAAGTATTTTTAAATTGAATCACGCACGCCGTTCGAGTGAAAATGTTTTAAGTAGTTCAAAACAACAATCACTCTTTTTCATTGTTTATAGAATACAGCCTTTCAGTTAGCTCAGACAAAACTGATTAAATAAATAAATTAATGTCTTATTATTTTTTGAATTTTTTTTATTTTGACTGGTTGACTATCAAAAATTAAAGCCAATCAAGCAAAACGTGAGTCACATTTCGCTTTTTTAGAAGAACAATAATGCAAGTGAAAATTAATGATTCCACAGAAATAGCAAATTAAAGAAAATGTAACATAAAACTTACAACTAAGACGTTAAAGAAAAGTTTGGAAATAATCGATGGGGACTTCGAGATAGCAAATTTATTTTAGTTTTAGACAGAACTACTTTATTTTATTCGTTTTGAAACAATTAAAGATTTATAGGCCGGAAAAGCGATTTTAAACTGAATATTCAGTCCAATAGGCTCTCGACCGAAATCCTTTCCATTTTTAGAATATTATCTTTCAAATTCAACAATTTTATGTTTTGTTTCAACACGGATTTTAATAATAGATTTATAAATTGTTTTTGTTTATTTGAATGTTAAAAGTTCTTAAAACTAACTTTAACATATATTTCCCATGCTGGCGCTTAGTGTTAAAATAATGAGACGATTAAACGAAAAAGGCTTACGAGAGCCAGTTGCCCTCTTTTGGTACACATTTGTACAAGGCAACTTTACAAATGTTTCCTCCTTTTTTCTCTTGTAGAAGATGGACACGCAGTGGAGCGCACAATGATGGTATTTTAAAAAGCCACGTCACATATTTGATTAGATAATTAACTTGATATAAGTGCCTTCAAGACTTAAGTCGTTAAGCATTCAAGTTTGGATTTCCCAACCCAGATTCGATTACATATAAAAACATTCTTTCTTATTTTGGAAAAAATATGAAAAATATAATTAATGCAATCTTTCTGCTAAATTTTGTAGTATTTTGATAACAGTTCAGAAAAAAATAGTTGTAGTCAGTAACTGATCTTTACGAAACCCAAAGTTGAGCACTTAACGTCCTGAGCAATGAAAGTTTATGTCAATGTTAATTATCTAATCAAATATGTAACATTCGCATTTTCTATAATTTATTTTTTAAGACGCCTTCGTTGAGAGCTTCATATCATTGTAGGACATGCAGCAGACATGCAGCAAAGTATTTCCATGTACAAAAAAAAAACAATGAAAAATTTTTAATTTTGCCTTTCGAAAATAATACTCCTAAATGTGCCTACCATAAATTGGTACTCGATTCGTTTTCAAATGGTGTCAAAAGTTGAAAACTGAAAATTAGTGGCTTACATGTTTTTATTACTTAGTATAATTTCACTAAACGTGTTTGGTGTTGTGTTATAAGTTTACCTAACAGCAAAAAAATCTGTTAGTTAAATTTTGTCAGTGCCGATTTTAGTAAAATTATATTGAATATTAAAATTATAACTACCTATATATTTACCCATTATTACTTTTTTAATTTTCAACTTAACATCCTGTATTTCAGAACATTTTATCCAAATATTTTTTATTTTCGACTATTCGTCTCATTTTGAACAATAATATTCAGTTGTTCATGTCCTATTCTTAATATGATGATACCATTAAATAAAAGTGAATATAAATTAACAGCGTACAACTCAAGTTTAATTAACCATCAGCGATATATCCAAAATCCAACCACAATATAGAAAAAAATGTTCCCTATTATAGTAAAATTCCACCCAATCTCAACTAATTCAATCTTTTTCAAACAAAAACTGGTTTATTTTATTATATCGATTATTTTCGCATTTTATGTGACCTTCAAATACCCTGTATTCTGTGCTTTTGTAATAATTTGAAATAGTAAATTGTAACTATAAAAATACATTACCGAAGACAAGTAGAAATGAAAAAGAAGATTTTAAATTATAATTCATACTCAAGCACAGACATGACCTAAAGACCTGACTTGGACATAAGTACAGTATCGCCATCTACATTCTATGTCCATCGTCCTCCAATGATAAGTCCATAAGGTTACACTACTATATTTCTTCATACAACGGTGTTACACTTACACTATATTCCTGAACGCGTCCCAATGCTTTGGCTTTGACAGTTAATGACGCAAAACACGTCACATGCTTCTTGATGTGACATTCAATGACATTTGTTATTGACAATTTTTTTTATTAATTTGCTGGTTTAAATGTCCAAGTTTTAGGATAATATTCAATGAATGACTGTTACATTTATCAGTGAAGTTATGTTATAATAATACTTTCCAGTGTATGTATATATTTTTAAAGAACATCGAAAATGGATCGAAATTTGTCCAGGGATGACCAATCCTATATCCAAAAGATGCAGTACATGTCTATTAGCGACCAACAAGATAGATACGTCCGCGGTACTAATAAAGCAGAACCAGCTGTCCCGTCCTACCAACAGAAACAAAACAGTTTTGGTGCAGTAGATAATTTTACTAGAGATTCTCATAAAAATGATTATGCTATGTATGAAAGAAACAATATCATAGCGAGTTCAAAATATGCTACTCCAAAGCGAGTTGAGACAATTGCAGGCCAAAGAGGATATGAAGATGATGATTTATATGTTCAGTGTGCAAAACCAGTAGTTCCTATAACTTCAAGTCCAACACAATCTTTAAGTGGATCATCACAAAATTCAGGTAATTACTTTGGCGTAATAACTTTTGTGGGTTTCAGCTTACTCAAGCTACTCTAGCTGCCCAAATCTCTCACAGCTCTTTTGTCTTCAATGGCATCTTCCCACAATTTATTGGATCATCTGATCCTTTTCTTAGTTGAAGACACAAGTGGATAAAGATGTCATGTCACATTTTTTCAAAAAATGATTTTTATGGCCTAATATACTTCAAATATACTATATTTTTTGTTTGTGATAGTTTTGATTTCCAATTTTGATGAATAACTGCTTTCATCAGATAAGAAGGTGTCATAAGCCATATATCATAATGCAATTGTAAAACTTTAAACTTGTTTTTCTCTAAATAATCTTTTTGTGACATGACACCTTTATCCACTTATGTCTCCAGTTGGTCTGTAATTTAAAAGTTATGCATTATTAATTAATGTGACCATCTTATTATCTGCTTAACAAATCTGACTGTGTGCCAATGGTCTATTATTCAGGTGGGTAATTATTTTTTTAACCGACTTCAAAAAAGGAGGAGTTTCTCAATTCCTCATATTATTTTTTTTATGTATGTTCAGCGATATTTTTTTAACACAGTGTCTGATTTCAATGATTTTCTTTTTTTTTTTTCTTAGAAAGGGGGTACTTCAGTGGTGGTCCCATATTAATTTGGTCAAAATCTAATAATTGGGCCCATTAGAAAATCCTCAAACTCTTATTTTTAATGTATGTTTAGTGGTAATTCTTTACCACCTTGTCCAATTTCTATGATTCTTTTTTTGTTAGTAAGGGGGTACCTCAGGAGTAGCCCCATATAAATTTGGTTAAAATCTAATAATTGGGCCTATGAGAAAAATCCTCAAACTTCATGTTTTATTTATGTTTAGTGATAATAAAAAAGGTTATCCTGAAAATAAATATTATTAAAAAAATATACCTAATATTTGCTGGTGAAAATTTTGAGATTTTGCCTATTAAAACAATGGCATTAAATAAATACCTAGATACTTAAAAGAAACAGTATCAACTGACTAACAATAAATTAATATTCACATGTATTTAAATCTCTTTAATTGATTCCTAGTACTTATGAGATAATCCTTTATTATTGGTTCCATTATTTTATATAGGGCGACAATTTAAAAACTTACAATGGCTTTATCTCATGAACTAAACCTTTTTAGGATACAAATGAGGAATTTAAATGACAAAATACAAAACACCTACATCAACAAAAAATAGCACCCCCTACTTGTCATACATCATTGGAAAGGTAGTAAAAAATGCTTTTCAACAATACCAGTTATACTATATACAGGGTGGTTCTATAGTTCATAATAATTAAAAACCTATCATCTTTATTTCATGATATATAGCTGTTTTTAAATGTAAATATAATCTCAGTAGGGCTTTTGACTGTTTTTAGATAATATAATAGTGTTTTTGAGGTTCATTTAGTGTTAATTTAAGTTTAGTTTACGTGCTTTCATCATGTCTAATATATTCGAGTATTCAGTTAAACATGGGCTAAAAATAAATCTGGCAAAAACTCAAGCAATATGCGTTGGTAATGTTACTAAAGTTATAAAAGATAATTTGAATATCGAAATTGATGATGTGGTAGTTAAGCCATGTGACTTAGTCAAAAGTTTGGGAATTTATATCGTCACTAAATTGAGATTTAAGGAACAAGTTAGATCCATTGTCCAAAAATGTTATTGCTCTTTAAAAAATCTATATCGAAGCAGATCTTTTTGAATGAATCTCTAAAAATACAACTCTGTGAGACGTTAATATTAAGTCATACCAATTATGTTGATTTTGTTTATGGGCCATGTTTAGATGTAGAATCGTCAGCGAGGCTACAGAGAATTCAAAACTCATGCGTTAGGCTCATTTTTACATTAACATCTAGAGATCATCTTTCAAACAAATTGAAACAATTGGGGTGGCTTAATATGTTTAATAGACGAAAACTTCATATGGCTTCCTTTGTACACAAACTGCTGAGAAACAATAATCCAGCATACCTTAGGAAAAAATTGACATTTAGCTTGAATGTTCATAACCGAAATACTAGCCTTCTTGTTATACCTAAACATAGAACAACTCTCTACAAGAGATCTTTCTCATACAATGCAGTGACTATATATAACTCCCTACCTGATCAGTGTAAAAATAAATCTCTAGAAATCTTTAAAAAATTACAGAAAAAATTTATTTTGTTTTAAAGTTCGTGTTTCTGTATTGTTAATTTTCTTATTGTATGTGTCTATATAAAATGTATATTAAATAATTTAAATCTAAATAACAATGTATATTTGTATTATATGAAATGTTTGTATTTGGTACTCGGTTGAGTGGAACAGCTATGGTGGACACCGCCGAGGCTTATTAAAATAAAGACGTTTATTATTATTATTATTATTATAAATGTAATATTTATCATGTCTTTATGACTAATTTGTTGGAAATCTTCATCTATCTGGATACTATACAAACATCTAAAAATATTTGTTTACTAAATGCAGGACATGTTTTATTATGTGGTTTAAAGGAAATGTCAGGTACCTAATGTTTAATATTGATAAACTTAATTACAAATCTTACTATATATTATGGAATGAGTACTTTGTATCATGTAAATAGTAATAAAATTGTCACAATACAGAAAGCTGTTTGACCCTAGACAAAATTTTGCCTAATCTCAATAATGTTAATTTGTAGATATTCATTTATTGTAAGATACAAATGGAAAATAATAAATTTTTAACAAATTTAATAAAAAACGTTCCTATTATGATTGATACAAATTAAAATATAAACAGCGAACATGAACGCCAATGTTGCCAAATGATGATATTTTAAAACTAAATTGATAAATTAACAAAAATTAATATAATAAATTAGTTTCATAAACTCCTTAAATAAATATAGTTTGATTACATATTGCTAGACACAAATTTTGCTACTTAAAAAAAGGTCTTTCCACTTCTTCAAGGGCTAAATATCAGACAACGTAGCGAAATTCCGCTACTCCTCTCAACACTGAACAAAGTCCTACTTATAGACATCTTTTACAATTCCTCCAGAGGAGCTTGAATTGCAAATACATTCATTCGTTTCAAAGAAAATACCTTATTGTCAGACTTTTTCGCTACCCTATATAATAAAGGAGGATATTTAGGATAATGTAAACAACTAAAAAGTTAAAGAGAATAAGCTAAAACTTTTAGTACCTTCTGTAGTGCATCAATACATTAAATTACAAAAAAGAAATGTTACAAGGACATAATAACCTATATAGATTGAAATGTGTTAAACAATTATTACCAAGCGGTATTTAAATAAATTGATTGTATAATTTATTACAGGTAGTCCTAGAGCTAGCATGGCTGTTAGTTCAGCTGTTTATGAAAACATCGATTACAACTCTAAGCATAATCAAATGCCTTATTATTCCGGAATAAACAACACTAATAGCTACAGAAAGGCCCAGCCACAGGTTCCTTCTGGTGGAAATAAAAGTGGTGCAGATTTAGATGGGCCTCCAGTATATGAAAACTTGAATATTATGAAGAGTGCCATGCCTGGTCCTCAAGTACCGACTAATGCCCCGCCTCCTTATAATTACCAGTACTCCTCTCATTCTGTATACACACCAATGCAAACACCTAACATGGGTAAAGCCCAACCCCAGTCCCCCTATAATAACTATAATAAGTCTCCATCAAAAAGTTTTACCCAACAACAGTTAGATGATCTGAACAGCAGCGACTATGTCTGTATGACTGGTAATGTAGCTCACACTACTCTAAACACCCCTTTTCAAACGACCTCTGCTAAGAGTTATGATAGATCTGTAGCGACAGGAATTGCATTAACCCCAACTAAGACAGTGCTCTCTAAGGAGGTTAAGCAAGCTGCACCCTTGCCTCCGAAAGTAGATAAGAGACCCTCTCCCGCGCCAAGTCCAACTCCTAGCACATTTAGTAATTCAGGGGGAAGGTTGAAGATGACAGGGAAGAATTTGTTGCCTTATAGTGTGACGCCTCCTAAGCCAAGGGGACCTACAGAAGCTGAGAAAAAAATTGAAGAAATGACTAGGCAGATCGAGGAGGAAATGGAAAAGCATGAGGAGGAAGGAGAGTATTTTGGTAAGATTTTTAAATATGTATTTATTTAAGAATGAAAGATTAGGCACATTCCCAAATGTGGTAAAGTTATTCATGTATTCCCTAAAATAAATTTATTTGATACAAATTATTTAAGCTTTTATATATTCCAGTGTATTATACATACTTATATATTAGATTACTTCTAATTATGTGGTTTACACTTTAGCATAAACAAGTATACTCACTATAATAAGTCAAGTAAGCCTATCATTTCCTAGAAGAATTCTATAAAAATAAAATATATAACTAATATCAAAAATATATGACAAAACGAACATCCTAGAAAAATCTCTTAAAAATAATTACTAGGGTAAAAATTGAGAAAGTCAGATATTTAATAGTATATTATACATCAAGGGACTGAAGTGGCACTTTTTATCCCGTCACGCACTATTTTGGCGAATAATAATAACAACTGTCCCTTCCCCACACAAGCTCAGTCGACTTCAGGGGGACCAATTTTCAAGCTATATGTGCACATACAAGAGTTAGTTATAATTCATTGCCAAGCTCCAGAACTGTTTTTGTGGCAAACTTTCTGAATGCAATTATAATATGATTAAATCATTCATAATAAAGTAATTTGTGAAGAGTGAGTCTGTAAATAATCTAATCAATAGTTGGATACCTTGGAGAGTGGTAAACAAGTCGATGCTGTTTATACTGACTTCTCCAAGGCGCTTGACAAAGTTAATCATGAGATAATTTTAATGAGGTTGGGTCAATTGGTTTTCATGATACGATACGTAGTTTTTTAACTGAAACGGTTCAAATGGTAAAAATCAATAATTTTATCTCAAAACAAATAGCAGTTAGTTCTGCACATTGTTTACCTCTGCTCTTTAATTTATTTATTAATGATACAACATTGACCGTTAAATACTCATCTTGCCTTATGTTTGCTGATGACATGAAGCTTTTTAAAACTGTAGGGGTAAATGATGATACTATGCTGTTACAATCAGACTTAAATAATTTAATTAATTGGTGTCAGATGAACGGGCTTTCTTTAAATACCAATAAATGTTCGGTTATTAGCTTCTATAAAAGAACCCCCCAAGATTATCTCTATATACCAATTGCTCAATAATGAACTAGGCAGAGTTCAATTAATTAAGGACCTTGGAGTGAATTTTGATTCATCTCTTTCATTCAAGGGACATATTAATATAATAACTGTCAAAGCACTAAAGATGTTAGCTTTTATAATGTGAAACTCTAAGGATTTATCTGTACAATCACTCAAAACAGTATACTGCTCACTGGTTAGGTCAATTCCAGAATATTCCACCATTGTTTGGAATCCTCAATATGAAATTTATATTAATCAAATAGAAAGGGTGCAAAAGAAATTTGTAAAGTACTGTGCTTTTAGATTGAATGTTCAGTATGATTATTTGAAAAATTTAAAATTAATCAATCTAGATAAATTAGAGAATAGAAGATTATAATTAATCGAATTTACAACTGTCCTAACATTCTGGAGCAAATATATCTCATAGTTCCTTCAAGGCTGTTGAGATCAAATGATTTATTTTTTATCCCTTTGTATTATACAAACTATGCCAAACACTCACCTATTACCAGAACACTTAACATCCTAAATAACTAAAAACATTAATGTTTTCAATGATTCCTGCAACAAATTTATTTTTAGGTATTTGCCACACTTGTGGAGACAAAGTTACGGGTGCCGGTCAGGCATGCCAAGCAATGGGAAATTTGTACCACACCAATTGCTTTATATGTTGTTCCTGTGGAAGGGCCCTCAGAGGAAAGGCGTTTTATAATGTCCACGGAAGGGTCTACTGCGAAGAAGATTACCTAGTAAGCCCTACTCCAAATGATGTATTTATGATTTTATTTTTACTTAGTTTTACTACTAACATTTTCTATTATTCCTTACTGAATTAGTTAATCATTTTTTAAAGTAGTTTATATAAAAGTGATTTTCTATTAAATTCATTCAGTATTTTTTAAAAGAATACTATCTGCTAATACCATTTTATACTTTAAGTTTTTGCGTTTAAAAGCATTATTTTTTTTGAATAGTCTTAATTTATATAAATACATTTTACATGGTTACTGTTATTTTCTTGTTGCAGTATTCTGGCTTCCAGCAAACTGCAGAAAAGTGTGCAATTTGTAACCATCTTATAATGGAAATGGTAAAAATCATATCAAAGTAACGTTACTCTTGTTCATATGATATTTGTTTTAGATTCTGCAAGCCATGGGCAAATCGTACCATCCAGGTTGTTTCAGGTGTTGTGTGTGCAATGAGTGTTTAGACGGAGTACCTTTCACTGTGGATGTAGACAATAAAATTTATTGTGTGAATGACTACCACAGGATGTTTGCTCCCAAATGTGCAGCATGTGGAAAAGGTAAGTTAAGCTGCTGTTTTTCATTGTCATGACAGACATTTAAACAATTTTTTTAGGTATAACTCCTGTAGAGGGCACGGAAGAAACAGTCCGTGTGGTATCAATGGACAAGGATTTCCATGTAGACTGTTACATCTGCGAAGAATGTGGCATGCAGTTGACAGACGAACCTGACAAACGCTGTTACCCATTAGAGGATAGGCTGATGTGCCGAAACTGCCACATTCAAAGACTGCAACACATGCCATCTCAAATGCATCCCGTTCCTGTGACATATCAATATACTGGTTAAGTTACCTATGTTAGTTTGGTCAATGTTGAAACTGAATGTTGATCGTTTGTCACATAGGTGACAGTAGTGCGCTTTTTCCGGGGTTATGCTAGGCTTTATTTGTAGGTTTAAAGAAGTATTATAGATCGATATATTTATATTACAGACATTATTACAGTATAAACGATATAAAAGTTTAAGCATAAGTATCACAATGAAATTTCTCTTGATATTTTATTTAAGAAATGTATGAAACTGTTTCTGATCGTGATACTTCATACTTGAAAAAAACAATTTAAAAAATGACAAGCGTCACTTGTCAATTTTCTCTGCCGAAAGAGACTAATACACCAATTTTATATTATACAATTTTTGATGAGCATACAAACTGGCATAAATTAAAAAAAAAAAATAAAAATGTGTACAGACATCAAAATTTAGAGTATATTAGGCAAATGTTACTCCTCAGATTATACATCACTGTTTTTTAATGTTGTATATCAAGACAATGTGAAGTCGACTAATTGTTGTTAAATCTTTAGGCAATTTTTTGAGTAGCAAAATCGAACTATTTTAGGGGATTTTTAAAGCTGTGACTCATTTTAAACTATCTTGAAGGTCAATAATAGTTATAACAATGCTCTCTACAAGAAAAATACAACTGGAATATGATTATAGGTAAAAACTGTACTGTTGTTTCAAAAAGAACACATTGGATATATTTTACATGTTTATTAATTAATTTATAGGATTATCAGTTATAATAAATTTTGCAAGTCAAGTTGAGAATAAAATTTTCATTTTACAGAAAAAAAAATTTGATTGGTTTATTTATAGGTCGTTACTACAAAAACTATAAAACATTTTCAAGTTACTTATTTTGTGTCAAATTAATGTTAATATTACAAAGCTTGCATATTTTAAATTTGAACAAGTCCATTATGAGCTTTAATATTTCCTTTAAAAAAAAATGCATTCTTTAGGCTTGTTTCAAATATGTGATAAAGATATATAAATTTTCTAGATGGAGTACTTTTTTGAGTACTTTTAGTATGTTACAATTATTTTCTTTAGATGTATACTGTACTTAAGTGTGGCATTCCATATTTTGTATTATTTTTCTTAACATTGTATATTTCTATAAAAATATGCCATTAAAAAATTCTAATTAATTTTATTCTCCATATACTTTCACTTATCCCCTTTTTTATACGAGATGTAATGCAACAACTTCCAAGTAAAGTAATCCTGAAACTTAGAAGCAGGAATACTCCAAGATAGAACTGTGAACATAAAAAAAATACATTCGACAATAAATTATGACAACTTTAAAACAGTCTTAATAAAAAATAAAACAGTTATTAGTATTTATTTCTAAAATTAGTTAACCAAAGGCTGGGTAACAATTTCCAAGATCTATTCTGTAAGCCTGGATCAAATACATCATAGTTAACTTTTTGTAACCTATCTAAATACATAAAAACTGGCACTGCTGGTAATAAAACACTTCTGCCTTCCTTGGGAACACTATTTGCTAAACTTCTTGCTTTTAGTAAGTGCTGGTGGGCCCTACTAGCTATTTGAAATGTACACTCTGTCAATTGTTCACTCTTTTTAGCTCTCAATACATCTTCTTGAACAACTTTGTTCTTTACCAGAATTTCAAGAGGTATTGATAAAAAATTTAAACGTCTGGCATGAGGTATACTTCTAAAACAATTAAATTTAACTTCACCAAACAGGTAGAATAGTTCCGGGCAATATTGCGACAACTCCACTCACAATGCGTCTGAGTGGGGAACAGGGTTCGAAAAAGAATTGGAGGGGACGCTTGACGTGTCGCAATATATCCCGAAACTATTCTACTTGTAGATATCAGTATTGTAAAGAAAAAATCTTAGTTCCATATCTTGTGCAAATTAATTAAACTCAGAGATGCTATACTTTTACATATTACATTGTTGCACAAAAGGTTTACTATCCAATTATTTATTATCAAAAATACAGCAATTCTTTTCTAATAATTTTCCTTGTCCTAACAATATTTTATAACTATTGATGTTATTTTACAGACCCAGAACCCCTATTTACTTCCTTTCTCGTAAAATTGATAATATTAATTGAAGAAACAGCATATTTTTATTTAAAAAATTATTTGTAACATTAATTTTTACAGGATATACAACTTAGGTTTTTTTGTCTACAATAGTAATACTTACAAGAGTATGTAAGCTTAGTTTTTCTGTAATCAAAAAGAGCTCAAACTAGACATTACCAAAAGTAACTTATTTCAGTTATGTTACCTTATTTGTTGCACAATTCCTTGGGCCTTTCCTAAATGTGAAGCAGCATGATCTGCATGAACATTTTTAATACCAGACGATTCTAAAATTAAATAATAAATATTGGAAACACTATGTTCAGCATACTTTTCCAATTCTTCTAATGTTTTAAAACTTGTTATGCCTAGGGAATTTTTACGAGAATTTATTAAGTTTTTGAAGTATCTTTTTGTCAGTTTCTGCTTATTATTAGCCTAAAAACAAAAGTTCTGTATTAAGTTGTGGAAGATTTTTTTTTAAATTATAGTTAAATGGACATACTTTAAAAAGTTCTTGAGCTACAGGATGTTTAGGTACTAATCTGTAATCGTGGGTTAGACATTTTTCTATAGTGTCTTCCCAAAATTTAAATCTCATAAGGCCTATAGCTTCTTGAGATACCTGCTCAGCTATTTGGGCAATTTCTATATTAAAACTTCTAACGGCAAGCGCACATGACCTTGCAGAATTCCGTAAAAGTAAGGAACAAACAAAATTTTCATAATCAAATTTTCTACAAGAAAAAATCATTCTTATAGTTTGAATACTTAGTTTATTTAAGAACTTACTTAACTGAATCCGCACAATATTCTGCGGTTGTTTTACTGGCGAATCTAAAACAATTAAATAATGGGTATTTTACAGCAATTTCCTGGAAGAGTTTAATAGCTTTTCTTTGTATATTCATTATTTATTTTTGAAAATTCAAAGCTTCATAACCTCATTTTTCTTCTTTTTAGAATAATTTGTTTTGACACTCTTCCTCCATGCTCTTCTCTTAAAAAAAATTATTATCTAAATTTTACTTTGTAAGGTACTACAACTACAAGGTATTTTCAATTTAAAATACACTTTCTGATATCACAACAAAATACAAATAAAACATATATAATATTTTTGTTTTATTAAAAATTATAGTTTGTTTTATACATCGAATTCCATCTAAATATAATTCCGGAACCGCATGACCATTTTATGATAGGTTGTTAGTTAAAAGAGGTTATGATTAACGTGTGATTAAAACGTCGGTGAGAGTTCGCTGAAGTGTCGCGTTTTACAATATTTTATTTTATAATGATTTAAAATAAATCAACAATAAAAATATGGATGATTTTGAATTACCCGAAGATCTTCAAGACATTGAAGTAATTTACTCAGACGGTGAAGATGAAGAGGAACCTGTTGAAAACATGTTTGATGAAGTCAGCCTCCAAGAGCCTGGTTATGAAGATGTTGAGATTCAAGTAGTAGACACAGCCCTTTTAACTCTTCAAAAACATAGCAAAGCAGTGTTTAGCTCAGATTTAAGTAACGATGACAAAATAGCCGTAACAGGTGGTGAAGACGATCTGGCATATCTTTGGAACACTGAGACTGGTGATATATTATTTGAATGTTCCGGACATAAGGATTCCGTAACTGAAGTAAGCTTTAATTTTGATAGTCAATATGTAGCAACAGCAGATATGGCTGGGATGATACAGGTGTGGAGCATGTATGATAAGAAACTGGTGTGGTGTTATGAAGGGGATGACATGGAGTGGTTGTTGTGGCACCCTGCTGGGAATGTACTCTTCTGTGGATGCCATTCTGGTGACATATACTTATGGCAAATACCCCAAGGTAATTGTAAACTGCTTGTAGCTCAAAATATTGCATCTACCTCATGTGCAAAAGTTTTGCCAAATGGAAAGCAACTCCTAGCTGGATATGAAGATGGATGTTTAAGACTTTGGAATATTAAAGAATGTACCGTTGAATGGAGTAATAGTCAGGCACAATCCATAACAAACTTAGATATAAATAAAGAAGGTACTTTGGCCATATTATCACCAGAATCTAGATTAGTTAAGTTAACTGATGGTAAGACATTAACAACTTTACTTCCGGATGGTGAAAATGAAATAGAAACTGCAATATTTCACCCAGATTTAGGTATAATGGCAACTGGATCAATCTCTGGCCAATTATGTGTATGGGAAATTGGAAGACATGCATTAAGACATCAAGCTAAGATAGAATGTGCTGTTACATTACTGAAATGGGGCACTAATGGTCAAATATTTATTGGTGCGACAGATGGTGCTGTTTATGTGTGTGATGTGAAATCAGGAACTCTAATTGACACTTTAACAGGACATAAATCCGATATTCTGAGTATATCTGTGTTTAAAGATAATAAAATTTTGACTACATCTGATGATGGTACTGCAAAAATATTTACTGTTAAAAATTAAGTCAAATCTATACCTACATATATATACAATAACAGTTTTTACATATGTAATATTTTGAGATTTTATCTGTCAACACTTTTGGATGTATTTATATTTGGAATGACTTTAAAAAAGAAAATATACTTACCATTACTTTAATAAGTGTTTTGTATGTCACTTTCCATACTTGATGTGTGCCATTTATAATTAATTAGTGATATTGCATTTTTTAATTCTGTAAAATTTTCTTAGGGTTAAAACGGAATTAAAAAAAAATATCACATTTTGAATAAATGGAAGACCCTGTACACTTGTTCATCTATAAATAAAATAATCGTTAAATATTTTAAAAATGTATTATGTAAATAAAATATAATAAATGCTCAAAGGGTCCAATACTGGCTCTGGTTTTATTCCTCATTTAGCTACAGTAGGTAAATTTCATCCACTCTCAATTATCTTCTAAAGGACAAATACCTTTAGGATAAATCAAAAGAAATGTCTAAAATGTGAACAAATAAACCAACATCAAGATGAATCTTTGTATACTTTTTGTGTGACATTTATCTTTTAGAGGGAGACATTACCTAAAAAGTTCCATGGTATTTTAAATATTAAATTTTATTGACTTTTTCGAACGTCAAAAGACATATCAACATAAGCCGCATTAAGTATTCCGTTCTCTTTTTAAATCGGAGTAGAATAGCTATGAAAGTCGAACATTGCTTACTTTGTGTGACACTGCCAAAGTTCTTCACAAACAGCCTACCAAAAAATTTAATACTTTTTTTGATATTAGCATAAATTTTATGAATATTCCGTTTATTTTCGGTTCTTACACCTTATTTTTGAATTTTTTCTTTTGATCTTGAGATGTAGGTTTTTGATTTTAAATAAAACTAGTTTTTTCGAGAGTTTTTTGTTTTGTAAAGCTCTTGACCTCTATTCTGTGCCTTCTTCAGTATTTTTTATTATGTTAATATCATTGTTGTCAACTCAAAATCTGCTATGTACCTAGGTTTTAGAAAATTTTAGAGGAGGCTGAAAAAACTTAACAATAGGACCGACATCTCCTCACTTAAAAGATTTTATAATCTAAAATACTATGTAATGGATATAATTATATTAGATGGCTTAACATATGTCAAAATTTGTCACGTACAGTAATATCTCAATTTGTCACGTACAGTAATATCTCAATTTGTGACAAAATCGCAGCAGCTTTTGTCTTGACAGCGACGATATATTATTTTTTCTTTATTAATGGGCCATTATTGAGTATCTTTTATCTTGTAATATTTTGTCAACTTATTATTTCATATTTAAACAAATTTGTTCTACTACTATCAGTACTTATAATGCTATTAACATTTTATATTTTTAACTCTGTGTGTGACGGGCATGTATATATAATCCAGATTGTTTGTATCAGTGGGATAGGTGGATGTGTGCTGGAATTAGTTGGTTTTTTGTTTTCCAATATACTCTTGTAAAATAATAGAAGATAAAAGATACTCAATAATGAACCATTAATAAAGAAAAAAAAATATAAATAAAAATTACTGAAGAAGACACAAACCAGATGCCAAAAACTTTACAAAAGAAGGTTAAACTGTAGTTTTTTTTTTTTTTAATCAAAAACAGCACCTACATCTTAAGTATTGTAATGTGAGCCATTTCATTATTCAGTCATGCTCTAATACTCCAAGTCCCTCTCTGTCTTATTTGGCCTTTGAGGCTCAACTTGTCCGATTATCATACATAATTAAACCCCTTAAGACCAAACATATGTGACGACTATGGCGGAGGCCCTTTCGATTACTATTTGACAAGAAAGGGACAATGTTTCTAGTTTTGGCGAAGAACATTCTGGAAACTTCACCATAATTTTAAATTTGTACATTCTGGAACCTTCACCATAATTTTAAATTTTTATATAAATATTGGTGGAGGAACAACGCAATAGTGAACAATTCAAAGACATTCGAAATATATAAATTAGTATTGTTAAAAAAAATAAGTGTTTAAATAAATTATTTACAAATAAACTGTTGTTTGAAAAAAAACAAACATTACAGTATCAAAAAAGAAAAAAAAAATAATGCAATTTTGAAAATATATAAGCCTCAACGAAACTCACTCATTCTCCCAGTTTTGTCATTTCTCCTTAGCCACCCTTGTAACATCGTGTAGATGGATGTCTATCTCAGATTGTACTAGAATTATCCTTCCTCCATGAGAATACATTTTCCAAGATCCATCATTTGTTTAACGTGAAATGACAAAGAAAGATGAGAAAATCGGTTGAGATTCGAAAACTGAAAATGCAATAATTTTGAAAATATGAACAATTCACCCTCATATCCCCAAAGTAAAATTAAACCTACGAATTGGGCTTACGATTCATACTCTCACTGTTCGATGCATTCATTTTTTCTTTTCTTTATTTCTTAGTTTTTTTTTAATTTTTCTTTGGTTTGTTTTAGTTTGGGGTGTATTTTTCATAATTTCGTAGGGGAATTGTGGATTATAATACTTGTTTTAATAAAACGAAAATTTAATAAGCTGCTCCAAGCCTGTATACTCGGAATGATTTGTTGAATATCTGGACACTGCTAAAATATTTTTTAATTTATACTTTCTAAGTACATATTCTAAGAAGTAATATTTATTTAGTAATAGTTCAGGTTAGTATATTACTGTTTCAATTCAGAAATTTTATACAGTAACAAGAATGCAATGCCTATCTTTTTTTTTATAAAACTTTTTTATGAATTGATTTTTATAAACATTTTATTTATAAATTAAACAGATTTAACGGAGTATTATGGTGTTTCTTTTGACGTCTAAACACGTTATGTGGTGACGTATTTATCACGTCGCTCTGTATGACGTCTTTGATCTGTGACATATTGTCGCCACCAGCACGTCATAAATTTGGTGATTTCGACGTAAAATGTGACGTGTATTTCACGTGAAAATCACGTGCCTGTGTTAGCTGGGTATGTTTTTTCATATTTCCAAAATTGCTGGTCAACCGATTTTCTCACCTTTCTTTGTAAAAAATGTAATGATAATTGTTATTTATTTACAGAATGAAAAATGTTTATACATTTGTTTTATAGTAATATAAAGCCTAAAATGTTTCATATATCAAAAGTAAGTTTATATATCACATAGACTACCCTTGCTCACGTACACGTTTATAAATTCGAATGTTTCAGAGGGAAGAAATTCACTATATAATAATAGAACATATTTTTTAATGGATACCAGAAACAACGTATCAACCTAAAATTTACGAGGGAAGTAGTTTTAGTATACACAATCACATTCTAAAGCCGCTATGATTTCGAGAGATCCAAAAGGGTAGGACACCGCCCTTCAAATTATAAAATATTTTTATAACTAACCAGAAATAATGTATATCAACCTAAAATTTACGAGATAAGATAATTACAGTTTTAGTATGTACAATCACATTCTAAAGTCGCTATGGTTTCGAGAGATTCAAAAGGGTAGAAACCTCCTAAATTGGAAAATATTTTTATAGGTAACCAGAAAAAATCATCGCTAGAAAGACAAAGAGGCGTAACTCCAATTTAGCTATTTTACAGGAGACGCAATTAAACTTTTGTGCATTTGGCTTATGCATGTTTAGTGCATTTAATTTGCCATATTATGTTTTAACTATAAAGAGGAAAGATACGCCTTTTTGTCACATCCTATATATCCACTTTAACAGATTTGTGGTGTTCTTAACCCAAATTGAGCATTTTTCGGCTTACGCCCCTGGCCTTCCCAGCGACGAAATGTATAGACTTTTAATTTGCAAACGAATCACTGTTTTGGTATGTACAATCACCGTATAGAGTCGCTATGATTTCAAGAGGTCCAAAAGAGTAGAAACCGCCCTTTAAATTGGAAAATATTTTTTATAGCCAGCCAGAAAAATATATCAACTTAAAATGTATAAAAGAATTACAGTTTTCGTAAGTACAATCACGTTCTAGAGCCGCTATGAGTTTAGAGATATATAAAAGGGTAGAAACCGCCTTCTAAATTAGAAAATAATTTTAATCAGGTAACCAGAAAAATGTATTGACTTAAAATTTACAAGAGCATTACAGTTTTTGTAAAATCACGGTCTGAAGCCGCTATGATCTCGCAAAATCCAAAAGGGTAGAAACCGCGCCTTATTCTAAATTAAAAAATATTTTTTTATAGCTTACCAGAAAAAATGTATCGACTTAAAATTTACGGGGAATTACAGTTTTTCAGTAAGTAACGGGTGTATCTTATAGTGGTATCCGAAGTTTTTTTTTTTAAATAATTTGACACACAGTGAATTTTTGTAATAAATGTTTTTTTTTATTGAAATTGGACCCATTACAATTTATTTGGTCACTTTTTGAAGATGACATCGGCCAAGTGACCACCTCCGGATGCCACACAAATCGGCCTGTTTTCGGCATTTTCCATCACTTTTTGGAGTGTTTCGGGTTGAATGGCAGCGATTTCTCGGCGTATGTTGGCCATAAGTTGTTGGAGAGTGGCTGGTTTACCGGCATAAACCTTTCCCTTCAGGTATCCCCACAGGAAAAAGTCAGGTGCGGTCAAATCTGGTGAATGAGCCGGCCAGTCGAAATCGCCGTATTTCGATATCAATCGATTCGGGAAAATGGCACGCAATAGGAGTTTTTTTTTAAAATAAATTTTTACAATTTCAGCATGTTCTTGTGGTGTAAGATGGTTCATTGTTAAAATTGTACTGGTCTGACGTTTCTAAAAGATTAACAAACATTGCGATCTGTCACCTGGTTGTCATGTTATTTGAAAAAAACATCGGGTACCACTATAAGATACACCCTTTACAATCATGTTCCAAAGCCACTATATGGTTTCGAGAGACTAAAAGGGTAGAAACCGCCCTTTAAATTAGAAAATATTTTTTATAGCTAACCAGAAAAATGTATCGACTTAGGGTGAGATTACAGAACGTCTGCAACTTTGCGGATCTGCAAATATAGCGGCAACTTTGCAGATCTGCAAATATGGCGGACTTACAGATGCAAGTATCAAGTTTTCGTATTCCAAAAAATATCTGCAAATTCGCAATATTTATTGTGGTTTATTACTCCCAACAACACTAAATCCAAATCCACCCTTAAGAAGGTTAGAATATCCTACAACCATGAAGTCTTTTGTTTCTTTTGATTGAATACAGTTCGTGGTGTCAGATTATCTAGTTTTTAAACAGTAATGGATGTGGGTTTAGTGTTGTTGGGGGTAATAAACCACAATAAATATTGCGAATTTGCAGATCTTTTTTGGAATACGAAAACTTGATACTTGCATATGTAAGTCCGCCATATTTGCAGATCTGCAAAGTTGCCGCCATATTTGCAGTTGTTCTCTAATCTCACCCTTAAAATTTATAAGAGAATTACATTTTTCTACACCCACATGGATATTAGCTTATCTACGCACAGACTACAAAACGAAAAAGTATGTCATTGCTTCAACTGAACGAATATATTTCATATCCATTCTAGGTAGTGAGAACACTGCAAAAAAATGAAATCCACCAATCACAGTTCACATTTTGACTGAGTTTTTACTATTATTTTTAAAGTTTTATGGCTTTTCCCATTGGAATGTTCAACTACTATTATTTTTAAAGTTTTATGGCTTTTTCCATTGGAATGTTCAGTGCCAGTGTATTCTCACTTTCTTCTTTTCCATATCGATAAACAAGGATACAAATATGTCCAGTGCGTCCCATGCAATAAAGTGGAGAGGGGCAGAATGATAACTGTCAATGAAAAAGTATAGACACTATGCACAATTTCGTTTTGCACATTTTGTTAACAAGTTCCAGGGAAGGTTTAAGAACATTTTGTGCAATAATTATAAAATAGTGCATCGGAAAATACTATCAAGTATAATTTAATACTAAATCGAAATTAAAGCACAAAAAATTACAAATATAAGCAAGCCAATAAAGAACCGACGCCAAAAAAGCTTACAACAGCCACAACACAAAAAACAAAGCTGTACATAAACATAATAGCTGAACAAAGCCAAGCCTGAAATTTGTTTATTGTGCTTTAGGGTAACCTCTCTCTCCTTCTCATTTACATGAATAAGAGTGGAAGGTAAAACTGTGTATAAAATCTAAACTCGTCATGGATGCGCAGGCGGTACCTTATCATATTTTACCTTCTCCACTTCTTTGGTGCGTCCTGCGCGTAGATATGGTCTGTCAATAATGCCAATGAAAAAAGACATTAAATGACAATTCTGTCAAACTAATTGTCAGTACATTTTTTTAGTTATTGAGATTAAATATACATTAAAATAAGTTCTTTTTGTGTAGAATCGATAAATAATATTTTTATTTGGTCAATATTTAAAAAAAAAAATAATCAAACTATATGAAAGTATTTTAATTACGAGTATTAAAACCAAAATGCTAAAAGTGGCCGTGGACGCGAAGACAGAGTGTTTGCCTTCCACGCGAAAATCCCAAGATCCAATCTCGGCTGGGGGACCAATTAAATAAAATCTTTTTTTTAATTTATTTTATTTTAAAAATCAGTAAAATTCATAAATTATTTTATAATTAGTTATTTTGTCCTAATTACCTAAAATATTTTTTAAATTTGTAGTTTTTCGTTAGTGCGTCGTAGAAAAAATATATTGTACAACTCCAATGGATTGTTCATGTCCACTCTTGTTGCACAAACTACTATTTTAGTATGTACAATCGATCGCGTTCTAAAGCCGCTACGATTTCGAGAGATCCGAAAGGGTAGAAACCGGTCAAGAGGACCCATTTAAAATTCATTTTTTTAAGATAAAAGGGTGTTAAAAAAATAGTTTAAAGATTAAAATTATTAACACCAGCAGTGTGCCGGAGGGGTATCTTAATTGATATTTTTTACACCCTTTCCTTGAAAAAAAAAAATAATTTATAGAGGACATGTTAACATTAAATTTTAGTCATGAAGTTGGCCAATTTACCTGCTTTAATATTGTCATGATATTTAGGAACAGCCTGTATAAGTATTGTTAACGTATATGGTCAAGTAATAATAAATCGATTAAAATCCCGGTATTAACGGTATTGAAACGCTATCGTTTTCATTTTATTCAAATACGTATACCTATCCCAGCCAAATACTTCCCGTTTTGTAAGGTAACATAAAAATGCATCAGTACATATTTTCTTCAACTGTTAAAAATGTTAACACTATTAACACTACATTTGCATTAGCCATGAATGAAGTAATCAATAAGACAATAAGTAAACACAAACAGTTTTTGTTAATTTGACCAGATGGCGGTTTAAAAATAACTCCGCATATGATTCATTACGTAAGCTATGTATAAAATGTAATAAAATAGTTACCTACCTACCTAAATGAAATTTATTGAAGGCTGCATCAAGAATTTCGGCTTACTAATACTTTTATCATTGTTGAAGCGCAAAAAATTTGGAATACTTCGTGACAAATAATCATAAGCGATAAAATTAAATATAGCATTTATTTTTTATGGTATATAGTATAGTTTATGTTCTCAATATATTCACGAATTTTATCAAATTTTGCCTGAAAAATAAAACACCTATTTGGGAAAGTAGGTACTTCTCGACCAATGACAGGTCTAAATGTGGAGTTTTTAATTCTATAACTTTCTTTCTCGTGATGCTACCGATGCCACCAGAGCTAAATCCTTGTGATTTTTTTGTATTATTTTTTCGTTTGTTTTTGTTTTCTTTTGGTTTTATTTGTTTTTTCTTATTATTGAATTTTTTGAAAAAGTTTATTTTAATTACTTCTATACACAGTTAAAAAAGAAATGTAAACTTGAGAATATCACTGTATACTAAATTCTATTTTTAAATTAATAAATTTTTGGAAGAATTCTTTAAACTCAGTAGTACCTATCTCTAAAATAAATAAATAAAATAATAATTATGAAATTACGGAATCAACTTAGTAGAAATTTATTTTGATATTTGTTGACCATTTTAATCATTTTTTTGCGTAAATTATATTTTTAAAATAATCATTTTTTGGAATAATTCATCAGACGCACTGTTATCTCTAAACTGTACAAATAAAATAATAATTTCCAGATTATTATTGATTGTATTAATTTAATAATTATGAAATTATGAAAGTTATTATGAAGTTTGTAGAAATTTATTTTGATGACACATTTCAATCAATTTTTTGCGAGTATTTGCCAATTCACAGTATTAATTGAAATAAAATAAATGGTTTTCAGTAATTCTGATATAGGGAAAATGTGGGAAAAATCAATCAAGCTAAAAGGTTATTTCAGCCAGCCTTAAACCATAAATTGTTAATATGAATTTATAGTTGATTTTATAAAATATTAAATTAGTACCTACGGTAATGGTATGAAAATAAGTATTTTATCAAAAATAATAAAACTAGATAATTTTAAAACTAGGTATATTGGAAAAAATGTCTAAAATAAGGGCAAGTAGACCTATTTAATGATATAATATTTAATATTATATCTATTAAAATTTACTTCCTTCCTGTCATGATGTGATTTAATGTTTTTTACTATTTCATAATATTATTAAAACTAAAATAACCTACTAAATTAAAAAAGATAATCCAAATTATCAGCTGTAAAAACAATTATAGAAAATATGAAATATTAGAGTTTAATTTAAATGTGAATTACAATCTAGCCGAAAGTGAATCATAACAAATTATATAAAATTGACATAACTTTGAACAACAATAAATGAGTATTTTTCAAAGACGTAACCACCAAAAAACTATATCAAAGATGTAACTGATATTTTTTAAACAATATAAAGCCACTTTAACCCACCTTAAATATTTTTCCAGGAATTTATCACATTTCATAATATCACGGAATAGTAATTATTTTATTTTTTAAAACTACTTCATAGTATTCTTAGCAACTAAACAAATACCTATACAAAAAACATTATTTTCATTAAATATTATATTATCACGTAAAAAACAGTTTATCAGAAAAAAATTAATTAATTTAAGTACGAAATATCGGCATTCACTTAATTCTCGGATAATAATACAAAACAGATGAACCCGGTAGCTGCCAATTCGAAGCATGTAGCTCGATCAGTTGCAACAAAGTACGACGCGCTCCCGAAGACCCAGCGCTGGCCAAGAAACCATCCCTGACGCTAGCGAGGAGTTGATCCAACTGCTGCGGCAGCTCAGTCTCTAGATCTCGGCCGATCGACGTCAAAACGAAAAATAGGCACTCAGTTTCCGATAGGCACTTGATCGGAAGTTCCACGCAGGCTTGACAACACTTTGCTAGAATGGACAGCAGAACTAGCTCAGGCTGTAAGGCTTCAAATTGGTCTTTGAGGTGATGTCTTTTCAACTGGCTGCACATTTCTGTTAAGAACCACATGAATGCCGTAAATCTCGTACCGTCACCCGCTTTAATCCCTCTGAGGATCTTATCTCTTTCTTGGTACCACTGTTGGCACATATTCAGAAGCGATTCCAGGAAGGTTTGGTTCTTTTCGTTTTCTATTATTAATAGACAGAACTTAGCAATAGGCTCGCTATATTTCATCCCTTCTACCACTTTTTCCATGATCGTTTTGACTAGATCCATTAGAGTCCTCGTGGGCACTTGAGTGGGGTCATCTAGTGCTACTTTTAGATTGCTTTGGTCCACTTGGGAGAATATAGTTAGGTCGATTTCTTCTTTTGGTATGTCTTTGAGTTTGCTAGCTAAGGCTCTAGAATCGGCAGCTCCTAAACTCTTGGATCTCTTCAGATGGTTTGGTTTCGGACTTGATTGCCTGGATTGTATGTTATTGTTCCAGTTTTGATGGTAAATAGTTTGATTTACTCCAGAGAATACTGGGTGGGCTAGTAATTCTGGGTGGTACTGGATAGGTCGATGCATTTGAGTGAGTAATTGTGTGGTAGAAGCCGAATGGAGCAGAGGTAAGGGCACGCCAGGAATTATGGGGAAGAGTCCTGGGTGGTTGATGTGTCTAAGGATGCTTCCGCTGGATTTAGAATGTTGTAGACCTATTGGTTCATACATTGCTAAATTTAGATTACCGCTAGACTTGGACGATTGTAGTTCGTGGTTCATGGTGAATTCTTTGGCATGAACGTTGAGTTTTCCGCTCATTGGAATATCCGTTCTGACATTGGGCGGTCTGTATATCTCCATCGTGGGTTTACCTTTCATAGCCATCATTGTTTGGGAGCGTCGTTTCGAGAAGTCTTTATTCGGCCTGACGAAGCTTCTTTCTCTTGACATTAAGGCCGTAGCGCCTTGTGAAAAGTCCGCTCTTTGGCTTCTCCTTAACTGCGCCTCGTGTGACATGATGCGATTTACACTGGCACTTATTTTAACTTGATTAACTAATGAACTGTTCTTTGTATTAGAATTTATTCAATGGCGCGATGAATTATGTCACCCACGCAATGCGGTCCCAGTATGGTAAGGCGGCAAGGTCTGATTCGCGTTATTTTGTGACACTTTCATAATATTTTTTATTCGACACTACGCGCTTTCCCATGGTTTTTCGCATTCGAACGGTTAAACAATGCGGTTCACTCCCGATTTTCTGAGTCGGATGTTGTGAGAATCAACGCATGAGAGAGCTGACGTATATTTAGAATGTATATTTTTAACGATGCACGCCTAGCTTTATAAATAGTTTAAATATTACGTACCCACCGTTCATAAATTAACTACTAAGTAATTATGTATAGAAAGATGAGCTTCGTTTGACTAGCAAACACATTCACAACACTTTTATAAGTGACAAACTTTTATTGAATGTATGTAGTAGGAGCGCCGTATACCGTCTATTCGATGCATTTTATGCAAAGGTGAGTGTGACAATGTCTTTTATCCGCGCTAGAAATTGACGCGAGCCGTGGAAACCTCTCTCTTCGAGACTAATAGACTAAAATTAGCTTTCCTGCTTCTGTTTAAAAACAAATAATGGAGATGAATTGGTTTGACAAGGTCGCAGATGCCCACTAAAAAAAGTCTGTTTTATACGCCAAATTTGGGAAAGTGGACGACGTTTCCTTATATTTGTGATGACCCTTCCAGAATTGCATTATTTCTATTTGAGCCTCATTGATATGTCTTGAACTTCATGCAATCTTCTCGATGTTCCTTTGGTCTTTTCTTTAAAGGATCGGACGTTTTTTGTCAAATAAAAATAAATGTTTAAAATAGGTACCTACTTCTAGTCAGGGGCGCATATACGGGGTGGTAATGGGGGTAATTACCTCCCCCCAAGAATTTTTAGAGCCATCTTTTTATAGGCACTAAAATGTATTATTATTAAAATAATGTTTTAAATATTACCACTACCCCCAGACTTAAACTTTGCTACCCCTACACCCAGACTTAAACTTTGAATGCGCCACTGTTTTTTATGTCCATTTAGTGAATATTTCCCCGATATTTAAAAAGGCATAAATGAATCTAAAAACATATACTGTCATATTCTCAGAAACAGGTACACTTTATTTTTACGATGGACAGGGACCTGTTTTCTAAAAAAAAGGACGTTTAAAGTTTTTTGATGACCCATTATATATTAAATTATTACACTTATTGTTGCATTTAAATTATCAGTTCAATTGTTATGATTTCAACATATATTTAATAGATATCGCTTACGTATAAGCAGAAGACAATCATCATTTCTTCGATATGTAATGTGAAAACATAATTTACCATATAAATTACTTTATTTACGTTTTTGTGTAAATAGTTTGTTTTTAAAGTATTAATAGAGCAAAAACATTATCGAATTAAATAATAATACACTTTTTTTAGTTCATTTTGGCGTGTGTGATTGACGTTATTTGGGATCCAGCCAGGAATATTTGGATGTCTTTTTTTTATCTAAGTAACATCGATTAAAAGTGAATGCAAATTTTCCTCGAATTCGATTATGTATGCTTCATTTTATTTTTGTTATACTCGTATACCAATCAATTTAATTTATTTTTCCCCGCATAACTTCCGATTGAATAGAGGCTTTCTCTAGACCAACGGGAATGTTCGCTGCGAATTCGCAACGAAGTAGTCACAGATCACTTACATCTCTTACAAGTCATACAATCTCAGAGCAAATCTTCAGCCTCACTGGAGGGATCGGTTCTGAGGTGATGGGGTTGGTTACTGACCCAGCATTTGCCTATTGCTATGAGAGAACCTCTGAAAAAACTCATAGCAGGGCCAGTCGGCAGTGGGACTTGAACCCACGACCTCCCGAATGCGAAGCAGATGCGTTACCGTAGAGACACCTCGCTCTAGAAGGAGCATGTATCGAATTTATTTATAGTAGGAGAGCACACTGCAAATTTATCCCGTCATCTGATAACGAAATTAAATATGCTCCAAAGGCATGTAACATTCTACTTTACTAAACGGCACTTGTGCCAATCACTATCCTGAGCAAAGGGGTTAAAACAATTTATTTCATTTACAAAAATCACAAAAGACATGATCACAATAATTTGTTTGCCCTGAAAATTATAATGCCAATTCATTATAATGCCAATTCATTGCGAACCTAGCTTTTACACAGGAATATTATTTTTACTTGCTTTTTAAATCATCTGTGTCTGTGAAAGGACGAAGGGTGGCATTTGTCACAGATAGTCAATAATAATTATAAACTCTTGTTTTAGACAATTCCTTTAAACCATAATCAAGTAGTTTTTTGTCGTTTTTATGAGAACCTGTAAAAGCGAATCACAACAATAAGTATACAATGAAATAAAGCTTCAAATCAGCAAACATTGATTCATATTCTTAATGGTTTTTATTAGTCATTGATAGATGTTTTTTGTGCGATGTTAAGGGGTAGAAAGTGTGGTATGTAAAAATTTTGAAATTTTACAGGAAGGCCATTTTATGTGTATTAGTTTAGTTTAGCACTATTTCATCAATACCCTTTGGCTACCAAATAATATTAACAACCAAAATGCCCTGGTTCTTGTTCTGTCTACCACAGTTATAGGACCACAGAAGCAATTTTTGTAGTTTTAAGCTAAACTTAACAGCTGTCATTTGGCACTTAACGTTTTGATATTTAATTCTTCATATATTTCCGTTTGGTAAAGTGCCATCGATATGATTTTTATTGTGCAAATAAAGTTATTCAGCTCAAAATCTGCATTTGGAAAAAAGTGGCACTTACGTCGTGTTGCATATGACACGCTTCTCAACAACTCTAGGAAGTGATAAAGCATGAACGAGGGGTAGGTAATAGACTCCCTGGTTCAGTGGCGTAGCATTTCTTTGCCTGATCCTTTTAAATGAAAACAATAAAAAATAAAACAATAAGATCCCTACTTTTACTTTTTTAATATGCTTTTATGCCGGTTGCAAAAAATAAAACAAAATCACTTTAAAGGTTTAAATATTTGTTTATGCTCTTGAAGGTTCGGCTTTTGCTTAGAACACAATATTTAAAAGGAATTACAAGTACCTAATAATCATTTATGCAAACATAAAATAAAACAAAAGTGAATTAAATTTATGTCGTTTTAACAATTTAAACAAAGATTATCTAAGAGGAAAATATGCTTGACCGCAAAATTAACCGGACATTTGTATTTCGTAAATTTATTTTCCTTGTTTTTTAACTTTTTAAACAAAGATGATTTTTGATAGATTAAAATCAAATTTTAGTTTATTTTTTAAAAAATGTTTAAACTTAAACATTAAACATTAGTAATTGAAATTATTTTAATTTAAATTTTTGTTATCGATATTTTTCTGAAAAACCCCGTGGGGTCAATTCTCGACTTGTAGGAAGCTTTTCCTATAGGAATTTGTGACACTTTCCTACATGTAGACAAATGTCATAAATTTCCGATGTGTAGAAAAATGTCAAAAATTCCTATAGGAAAAAATTCCTACGAGTCGAGAAACGACCCCCGTGTCGGGTAATTTGGCGGTTGAGTATTTGTTAACAGTGGCGGCTCGTGGGCACTAGCGGCAGTGGGGAACACACTGGAAACAAATTAAATATTACAAAATTGAAGACTATCTGCTAGGTACCGCTAGTTGTATACTATTTCTTATAGTTGAAGTTCATTCTTCTGGATTTTTGGCTAGCGAAGTGATCGATGACCAGATTATTAAAATTTGGAATGGACCGAATAAGTTTTTTTTCGATGGATAACATGGCTAACGCGCACAATCTCTCTTGGCACATAGTGTTCCTTAAAAATGCTTTAATACGTTTTAGTGTCGAAAAACATCTTTCACTCTCCACTGTGGTCATGGGAATTGTACACAGGATAGTTAGCAACTCCACAGATTCCGAAAATGTAATTGTCAAATTGTTCTCAAAAAACATTTGTAATAACGGTACGGCCCCATTGTGTTGCACAAAGTCATCTCGGGTGTAAAGTATGGACGACAGTTCGTTTTTGAATTTTAAGCTGTTTACATTTGGAAATAAACTACACCCAGTTTTGACGTCCTCGTTTGGAAAACAACCTCGGTAGTCTTTAAATTTTTCACTATCAAATAAACTTGCAATTGTTAGGTGGGTAGTAAAACTAAAACGTTCATTTACCTGCACTACTATTGTATCACAAATTTCCTCAGGTACATATCCTTAAATTAGGAATGGAGTCCTCCTTTTCAACAAACCGTCTCTTCATGCTTGTACTTGAACCTGATTGGGGGTTGTCGTCGTTTAAGTTTAGTTCTTGTGGGACTTGTTGTGCTTGCCATTCTTCAAGAATTAGTGTGTCTATATTATTTCTAATATTTTGAATAGCTGCTGCAAAATTTGATATGTTTATCTTAACCTTGAGAGCATCGAGCTGTCTACTCTGCAGTTGATCAAAAAGTATATCGCAATTTGGCATTATTTTGCTGAAGAAAAATAACCAGAAATTAAAATCTGTCTTTCAAAATTTATCAACCCTTTAGTCTGATTAATAGTTTTTTTATCGAATTCTGTGTTCATAATTTCTTCGAGACATTTAATCAAATCCTCTTTATAAACATATATAGTATTCGACACACTTAGATGTAAAATTCCATCGTGTAGGAGCATTTTAAAGCATAGGCAATTTAAAATCTCCCAGCGAAAAATTTCTATTTTATATTTTCAAATTAGAAAAAATATTTATATCTCTATTTGATAGTTTGTCAACTAAGCCTGGAATTTCCAACGCATACCTTTTTGAGATGAACAAAATAGAATTTGGTCATCCTTGCCAACAATTTGCGAAAATGTACAGCATTAAATTATTTATAAGACTCAGAATTTTTTATACTCTTAAATAGCAAACAGAGATTTGAAATCCTCAAAAAGTCAGACAAAATCAAAAGAAAAATTAAAATTTTGTCATATTTATAAATATTATTGATTTTTTTTTATCATATTTTTGACTGCTTTATAAAAAAGAGTTATTTTTCTTAACTATTCCAATGATCCAACTAACGTTTTTTCGTAATCACAATAAATAAATTATTATCATGGTCCAACAAACACCCACCTTAAGCCGAAACCGGCGTCGCCTTTGTGAGGGAGCCGGTAAAGATGCCGCTGCGTATATTCGTATCAGCAGTGCGATTCTGATTAGTTGTTACGTTACGTCCCGTTTCTCTATCTACTGTTCGACAGGCACATCGGGTACCCTTTTCGGTACCGTTTAAAATTTGATTCTAATCATCTCTCGAGTAACGGCTACGAAAACTACGATAATGCATGGTGCAGCATGGTTTGTTTTGAAGGTTTAATTTAGAAAATATACCAGAGGCATGGTTTATTGAGTTTTTAGAATTAATAAAATAAGAAATAATAGGTATTGTACCTAAATAGATATTTTAATGCTTTATTGTCAGTGTTCCAGTAGTCAATGTTTTATATGATTTGTATTACATCTATATCTTGAAGTATTTT